CCAGCAATGTAGGAAATTCAGGGTCCTTTTTAACGTCGGAATCGGATTCTCTTTTCACGTATATGTACATCCTTCTCCAACTTAGATAGGTATGAGGTGCACATTGGGAAACCGAATATCATTAAACGTGGAAATGTTGCGACAAAAGACAAGTCGCTCTCGCAGCTGTATACGGGGGGCAAGTTGGGGAATTTAACGACACGGAAATCTGCAAAATTGGATGTTACCAAGAATAATGATGATTGCATACGGAATCTCGTTTCATTTTTAGCATCGTCCAGCAATAAATCTATGTAAATATTTGCGGCATAGAATTGAAGCTGTACTTCTGTCGTTTCTTCCTGGTCTAATTTCTTAATCCAGCCGTGACTTTACCTAAATCATGATCCAAGATGGAGATTCTAATAAGTGAGTGCTTGCTGTTCCATTCTTTGTCGAATCTTTTCCATAACCCGGTAGACGCGCGAGCTCTTGTTGGTTCTTCATGCAGGAACGTCGGAGAAATTCAGGTTCCTCTCTGGACGGTGTTAATTGGATTCTCTTTTTGCACCTGACCAGCAATTAAATTTCTTATTCCGGATGTGACCCTGCCTTATCGAATCACGGCGTCAACCGAGCGAACGCAGGCCGAGCTCTGAGTGCTTAAGTGCAGTCGGTCGCCAGTACTGGACATGTCGTAGTTACCCTCGGTACCACCGCCGTGGCCTTTCGGACACTACTTACTCGGAATCCATTCAGAACTGTGGCCTCCGATCTCTTTGAGCCCTCGGACATGTTACAGACTTTGTGAGAAAGCGTTGGGCATCAATTATGTTGCGTTGCCGGCTCTTCACCCCAATCGTGGAATGATCACACGCTCAAATAATTTCTAGCGTATACAGATCACTTCAAGGGTGGGAAACTTCATCAGAGATTTGAAAAAAAGCCTTGTCGGACACCTCAGTACCAGCACGTAAGATGGAACCCCTAATTTAAGGGCCTTGATATCACAGAACGAAGTTCGTATATCAGTATCTACATCCTATCTCAGTAATTACCAAATCGTGTTTGAAAGACCATTTCAAGTTCCGGCATTTTGAGAAAAGGTTCTTCTCTACTTTCGAAAACTTTTCCATTATAAACTGACTTACACGAAACTGTTAATTTCGCATGCTAATGTTGATTGTGTAAACTCGAGAATCGGGTCTCTGATTAGCGTCCCCTGCAAGCTCTTTCTGGCCTTGTGCCGTAAGTTCATTCATATCCACGACAGCAGCCACTCGTGTCGATCCTTACGCCTCCCCGTAACCGTGGACACTCAACCGTGTGACATCCCACCTCGTACGTGAGGTACGTCAGGGCGCACGTGCAACACCCCCCGGGGCAACCCGTTATCACGATTTCAAGGTAAATCCCGTCTTTCAGGGCCGCCGAGAGGGTGAAGAGGTTCCAACGTAGGTGTCGGTGTAAAAAAACGCAATCCCTCGACGCCCCTCAATAAGGCCCGGTCGATGGCTATTCTCATCGAGAAATGACAAGACCTCGCATGACGTGTTTGCAGTGTAAAGCTTGTCCATCTTCCACCCATGATCGGATTAGGTGCAAGAATTGCGGCCGTTTCATTTCTTAACGTATCATTTGCCCTTCCGTGTTTAAGAATGCGTCCAGGCCGGGGTTTGCTCCGCAAACCTGGGAGGCACTTCTTGTTGGATTTGGCTCCCCAGGCCATTAAGTGATTGGAGCAGGAAACACGTTCTTGACGTGCTTGATCATCAAGGGAATGTGTGCTCAGAGGTTTGGGGTAATGTAGTAGCGAGTATCGCTTATAATCTTCTTCTGTGGATTTTGATAACATGCAGTGACGAGTGAATCTGTTGTCTATCTGAGTAGAGCTTTTGATTGTTGCTCAATGGATTGAGGCTGAAGAAGCGATAACATTGTATAGTGCCCCTTACTTGAAAATGTATCTTGATAAGAAGTTATCTGATGGATCTTCGTTAGTCTGTCTTTTTAAGCGCAACTAAAACAATGTATAGTTATGTATATCAATGTGATTGGAGCAGGATACACATTAGCGACTGCTTGATCATCCAAAAGAGTGTGTGCTTAAAGGTTTGGAGTAATGTAGTAGCGAGTATCGCTTTTATTCTGATAACACACAGTAACGAGTGAACTTATTTGGCAAAGCTTTTGATTGTTCCTCAATGAATTGAGGCTGAAGAAGCGATAACATTGTATAGTTTCGCTTACTTGAAGATGTATCTTGATATGAAGTTATCAGATAGATTTTCGTTGTTACGTTTTTTAATTTTTTATATTGGAATTTGGCACTGCTTGACAATGATTGAACCTCTTAAGTTGGAAACTCATCGAAACTTGGGAAAACATGATCTTTTCGCTGCAGGCATTCGTGGGGGGGTTCTAGTTTAAAAAGATGTAATCTGCCAAAGCGGGAAACTAAACAGCAGGCCAGAAAAAGTACCACAATTTTTCTTCTCCTTCTCTACCCATTCTTGGACACAATTACCTGGACTTGATACGATCAACGCTTCGTGTAGTACTACAATTTTCGGAACGCTTTTAATCTTTTTAAAGTTACTGTAATTTGGGCATTGTTAAAGAGAACTCCGGCCCGACGTTCTTCTTTTCAGTCGAAATGCTGAAGATATTTAATCATTTGTGCTACGATGTACAGAATGGTCTAGTAATGCTATTATTTTAACTAATTTGTTTATTATTGTAGTTATTTCATGGGATCGCGGACATGGAAATATTAAATCAAACGATTATAGATTTTTATATCTAAAATCGACAATATTTTAATTCATAAAATATATTTTACATTTAAGTATTGTACGTTTGAAATGAACAAAATTGATCTAACCATTTTAAAAATTATCTTCACTACGTAACAGCATTTCCTTTTAAGTGAAGTATTGTTTTGCATACTTGACAACTTCAATTTCTGAAAATGTCATTCCTATATTTAAAACTTTAGTGCAATATAGGTATTTATACTCCTCGCCAACTAAAATACAGTAAAAACCATCAACCTGTTATCGATATACCTTTCTTTTTATTATACGTTATTTCACGATAAACAATCCACAAAAATCATCAGCATTAAAAAGTTCCTTTTCCAGCGGCCACCGATTACGCCTTCCCATTTTCCATCAGAAAGGGTTCAGCACCTCTAATTCACCCTAGATGTTTTCTGCTAGTTATTGAGAATTAAAAAAATAAATATAGACAGGCTGTGGAGTGAGTAAAAAATTAGAATATCCCGAGGAAAGATTTCTCCTCGTAATCAAACCAACAGAGATTGGCATTGGGCAGACAGTGAAAAGACGCTCACCTCGGAAAAGGGACATTATTTTATGAAAAACAATAAACAAATATCATCAGCATCAAAATATTTCTTTTCCAGCGGCCACCGATTACATCTTCGCATTTCTCATCAGAAAGGGTTCAGCACCCCTAATTCACCCTGGACGTAAATTTTTTTCAGTTAAGAATTTGAAGAATAAATATATGCAGGGTGTGGAGTGATTAAAGAATTAGAATATTCCGAGGAAAGATTTCTCCTCGTTATCAAACCAGCAGAGATTGGCATTGGCCAGACAGTAAAAAGACGCTGATTTGGGAAAAGGGACATTATTTCATGAAAAACAATAAACAAAAATTATCAGCATTAAAATATTGCTTTTCCAGCGGCCACCAATTAGGGCTTCACATTTTCCATCAGAAAGGGTTCAGCACCCTTAATTCACCCCAGACGTAAATTTTATCCAGGTAAAAATTTGAAGAATAAATATATGCAGGGTGTGGAGTGAGTAAAAAATTAGAATATCCCGAGGAAAGATTTCTCCTCGTAATCAAACCGGCAGAGATTGGCATTGGGCAGACAGCGCGAAGGCGTTCGCCAGTGAAGGGGACTTAACGGTTTCCCTTATTGGGTCGTATAGCTTCGCAAACGTGATTCGAATCTACGTAGTTGGTACCTCGTTGGCGTTAGAGGGTCGTCACGTTGATCGCACCATTTACCCTCGAAACACCCGATAACTTCGGTAAAGGAATTACCCTGCAACGTCGCATCGCGACCGGAAAGAAATTGAGGGAGGGTCGCGCATCGGATTTGTCGCTACCAAACGAAGCGACGGAAACGCGCATTCGCGCCAAAGCCGGAACATACCCACGATTGAAAACTGATTCGTCGCAAGTGGGCCCGGGTTAAAGCTCCGTCGAGTCGAGTCGAGTCTGAAACGACATTGGAAATGCATATGTCGGTAAATCTGTGCTCTCGAGTCACTTTTAAGGACGCTCGGCTATCGACGTTTCCTCTCCAAAAACTGGAGGAACGTTCAACCGGGCTCGCAGCTTTTAGCCTGATTTAATATTTTAGGGGATTAAAGCTCGTTATTGGGATAGGAATAATTGAATATCGCGATCCTAGAAGGATCATTCGGAAAGAGGAAATAAGGTGACGTTTCCTCTTCAAAAACTGGAAGAACGTCCATCTGGACTCGCAGCTTTTAGACTGATCTAATATTTTAGGGGATTAAAACTCGTAATTGCGATAGGAATAATTGTATGTCCTGATCCTATAAGGATCATTCGGAAAGGGGAAATAACGCGACGTTTGCTCTTCAAAAACTGGTGGGACGTTCATTTGGGTTTTCAGCCTTTAGCCTGATCTAATATTTTAGGGGATATAAAGCTCGTAATTGCGATAGGAATACTTGTATGTCATGATCCTATAAGGATCATTCGAAAAGGTGAAATAAGGTGACATTTCCTCTCCAAAAACTGGAAGAACGTTCATCTGGACTCATAGCTTTTAGACTGATCTAATATTTTAGGGGATTAAAGCTCGTAATTGCGATAGGAATAATTGTATGTCGTGATCCTATAAGGATCATTCGGAAAGAGGAAATAAGGTGACGTTTCCTCTTCAAAAACTGGAAGAACGTTCATCTGGACTCGCATCTTTTAGCCTGATCTAATATTATAGGGGATTAAAGCGCGTAATTGCGATAGGATTAATTGTATATCGCGATCCTAGAAGGATAATTCGGAAAAGGAGAAATAAGTTGCTCGGAATGATCATTACTGGCTGCATTTTATTCTATGAGTAACCTTAATAGTTTGATAATTTTATATATTTTGATAATTACATTGTTCAGTACTTGAATTGGTATTTGTTTCATGTAATATCCTGTGACAAGGTTAATCCATTATATTCGATGTAATTATATATGATATGAATAATATGAATGGTATATGATAAGTGATTTTCGGTTGAATTACATCGAATATTTCCTAATTCTCTAATACGTTTTTAAATGTGCACAATAATTAAATATGAAAATCTATGCTAGCATATAGAAATTATTACTATGTAAGTGATTCTCGGTTCAAGACGAGCATAATTGAATCGCCATGTATTCGATGTCGGATTTTGTGAACGTCCGAATGACGAAACGAAAGTGTCAAGCAAAATGACATCTAGCTTCAGCATCGGATCGAAGGGGCTCGTTTATCGGTGGGATTTTAACGTTGCAGTCGTTTTACACGGATCGCAATAAAAACTTAAGGAACTACACTCTGGGATCATTTCTTTTACTCGAGGATATAAAGTCTTTATTGCCGCGAATCATTCATTGCGTTCGGTCGAACGTCTCAATCTCGCTTGTAACCATTCGTCGTCAACCTCGAGGTAGGATGGATAAAGTTCATCGTGATGATGTCATAATACTAGAATGTAATGGAGTGCAGATACTTGGTTAAGAAAGCCCAAGTCTTGCAAATTCTAAAGTGAGCCGTCAGGCTTCGAATCGTAATCAAACGAGAAAAGCTGAATTAAGTGTAGCTCCTATATCTCTCGACATCCCAAAATTCCTCATTAGTGAAGACCAAAGAAATTACGTTGACGTTCGGAAGTAATGAAAATACTTTTCAACACTTTCTCATTACAAGAATGTCGATCCGTGACGTCTGTAGTTTTTGTCTCTCTGTAATGTAATCTTGTATAAAACTTTATCCATCGATTGTCATTGCAAAGAGTCAATTATGTCAGTGACAATGGGTATTTCCGGGGGATACGAGATGCATGCCCGTTCATTTTGTCATTGATGATCAAATACTATAAACGTAATGTTGTATGAAATTTTATCCATTGATTGACATTGCAAAGAGTACATTATATTAGTGACAATACTAGGTATTTGCGCGGGATACGAGATGCGTAGGGTTTCATTTTGTCATTGATAATGAGGTACTATAAATGTTTGATGGTCTCCCAGAGATTCCTCACGCCTTTAGTACGGGAAAGATTGAACTTAATTTCAGTCCAGGAAGGAGACGAAATTCTCAAGAAGTACTTTGAGAGAGCATGCGGCTCGTTAGACGTTTCCCTACTTCAATGTACGCATTATATGTACCAAGAGGGCGCAATGAATCTTTTTGAAGGCTGTAAAATCTTTTAAGTGTCTCATTGTCACTACCTATCGGGGCCACCATGTAAAGTTCAGAGTTCCAACAAGTTGAAAGAACCAAAACGCGACATTTTATTAATGTTTATATATTCGAATCAACATTCCTGCAACACACGCAGGAAGCAAGTAGCTTCCTAACAATGATAAACAATTTCATTTCTTCCCAACCACCCATGAAAATCTAGAGTCCAGATATAAAAGTTAGGAACCCACGTGCGCCATAAAATACTTCCCACGTCCTACAAACATTTCAATGTTGATTATCACTCCAATCGAAACCACGCAACCTTCAAAAAGCTTCTCAATACTTATAAACAATTTAATTCATTCTAGACCAGTCGTCAAAATCTGACATCAGGCAAATATTCTTATCAACATTCCTGCAACACACGCAGGAAGCAAATAGCTTCCTAACAATGAAAAACAATTTCATTTCTTCCCAACCACCCATGAAAATCTAGAGTCCAGATATAAAAGTTAGGAACCCACGTGCGCCATTAAATACTTCCCACGTCCTAGAAACATTTCAATGTTCATTATCACTCCAACCGAAACCACGCAACCTTCAAAAAGCTCAATATTTATAAACAATATAATTCATTCTAGACCACCCTTCAAAATCTGACGTCCAGGCATAAAAGTTTGGCTGCCTATAGTCACCACCCCTCATAGATATTTCAATATCAGAAAATTTCTGCTCGAAAAAGCCCATTTTCCGGGGAATCCCAGTTCGTATGGCCAGGCTTTTGGAAAAAGGTCCAACGAACTCGGTCGGAAAAATTCAAACAGCTGTCCTGAGAGCTGCAAACGTGATGAATAGACCCGCCGCGTTGTAATCAAGTCTAGATAGGTCGCACTGATTGACAATCTTCCGGGTGTCCGGTCTGCACGTCACACCCCCGATTTGGCTCTGTTGCGTATAATGGAGTCAAGTGCCGTGGCAGCAAACCCCGAAACCAGGATATTCCCTGTAAAATCCAGAGCAAACGCGCCCTTGGTATAATTTATTCGGCCGATAGTGCCACGTAGAACGTTTTTCCGATCTAATGTCCAGACCGCACTCACGCGGATCTACGTCGACTTCTTCCTTTTGCTCTTTCATTCCTTGTCCTCCCTTTTCCTCGAATGTATTTCTCTAACGGCTGAGATAGCGCCTCTCCGATACAGTCAGGCTTCGATTACCCGGCTGAAATCGAAGCGGACCGATTCAATTAAATCAAGACGTGCCGGCACTATGAACCCATTTGCAAATATGTATTCCCGGAAATAAGAGCATTCGGAATTTATTGTCTAAGGGTGGGTATATTGGAAGGTGCTGATTGAATATGCAGCAGGAATGTTTATAGTGCTGGGCAAATTAGTTTTCTGTAAATATGGATCTTCCGCGGGATTTATTCTACTCTGATTATGTAGGAATTGAGGGCGGGATGAATATTTATGCGTATAGACTGTTTCGATTAAATTAAACGTATACTCTCACTTTCAGCTTTTCTTACGTATCCTGATGATGCTTTGTGAGCTATCGAACGTATTGTTGTGGCCTGGAAATATTTCTGGACGTTCATTTTACTTCCTTGATTTCTGCTAACTTTTTTAATCTCATAGCTTTGCTTTATGGATTTGGGTAAATTATAACAATTTAGAGAAGAATTGAACAACTGAACTTCTTATTCGGGATATAATTCCTACTTTGTTTTGTTTAAATTATACATACGTGAGGATTCGCTGATGGAATACTAACGTATCTTGAACCACATGAGGGTTTCATCAGGATTTCATTTTTCGGTACGATTTTCATCACGTCATTAAATTGTACGGCCTATACGATTCATGGCAAGGAGCTATTCACTTGGAAATCACTGAAAACGATTTCCTTCTTTAACAATTGATTCTCTTTGATTTCATATGATACACAACAATGCGATTCGGTAAAAAGTGACGTTCGGCCTTAAAATAGCGATAGTGTTCAGTGATTTCCAACGATTTCCAGCGTTAAAATCCATGATCTCATATGCAGGATATAATTCCTACTTTACGCTTTGTTTAAATTATACATACCTGAGGATTTGCTGATGGAGCACTAAGGTACCCTGAACAACACGAGGGTTTCATCAGGATATCCCTTTTCGGTACGATTTGTCATGACATCATTAAATTGTACGGCCTATACGATTTATGGCAAGGAACTATTCACCTGGAAATCAGTGAAAACGATTTCCTTCCTTTAAGGGCCGATTGTCTTTGATTTCATATGATAAGCAGCAATTGAAATCCATGATTTCCTAAGTGAATAGCACCTCGATTCAGGAAGTACTTGTTCAGGCAACCACGCATGTCGCTCTTATGTCAGGAGACGATTAACATTTCGAAAGTACAGACATTTGCCTCCTAGTCCACCAGGTGGAGGCGAACCAGGAACATATCGGGGGTCTGTCAGAAATACTTATCGCAAGGCGAGCAGAGCGTGCAAATGATATCGTTGTCCCGGTATTGCTGCCATCCCGGTCTGGGAAATGTCAAGAAGGGGGCGAGCGAAATGTCACATGCGACAATTGAAGATCGGTGCTCATTGAACCACCATCTTAGCGAAGCGACATTCGCGCGTTCCTATAAATATCCCTGTTACGTCCTTGGACGAGGTTTACATTTTTCCTTTCCCTGACATCCAGTGCTAGGGTGGTATTTCGATAAGGACGGAAAATGAGGGGTCTCAAAATTCCTGTCGCGTCTAAAAAATGATCAGCGATAAGGCTAACAAACTCGTTAGAAGAAATTGCCGCGTATGTTCTGCAGATAAAACAAGGAAACTAAGTGCGTACATGTGTAAAACTTGTAAAATACCATAACATATTGGAGAATGCTTCCAAAAGTATCACAAATAAAAAAATACTGAGCTATTTGATTGCCCAATTGGTTAAACCATTAAATTATATTATTATTTCTGAAACCATTGAATTATATCATAATTTCTAATTGGTTTTAATTTTGATAGTAAAAAGTTGTTTAGCTCAGATTACTGAAGCTACAAAGGGTTTTAAAATATAATTGGTTATTCTTTCACCCGGTACCCCGGAGGAAGTTTTCTTAGAAATAATGGCGGGAGGTAATGTGTAATTAATTAAGACTGGAACATTCGTCCCAGTTAAGGATAAATTGACAATAGGCATTGATTGCGAAGCTACTCTCGCGCATCTCGACATATTCCCCCGTCGCCGTCATTTGACGAGGTTTCAAAGTTTCTTCCTTGCGCGACATCCAAAGATTGGCCGGAATCTCAGGGAGGATGGAAAAAGCGGAGCCTGTCGCTTTGAGCATCGCAAAGCTTCGGCTTACGGATCCTTTGATACCTCAGAAATAAATCGACGAAACTCTAGCCAGCTCCCGGGAAGTTACGACTCGTGGGCAGTTCCGAGCTTTCGAAAGGACAATAACCTCGAACAATAGCTACGGCCATTAACATGCAAATCGCTTTATAAGTCACAACATTATCATCACCAAGATGAGGCGGATGCATTGTCATGCCGATTTTCCCGAAGCTGGCTTGAAACAGTCCGGGATTCGCTGCTGACTGTTCTTGGCGATCGGCGACTATGTTCACGCGATGAACACTTAAGGTGATATGAAAGTGTGATATATACATAACAAGAAGTAAAAATATTTATGAAACTTTTGTCTTAATTGGGTGCACAGAATTATTTGAAACTTTAACACGTGATCGTGGAGGCCATGAGGTATAACGCGCTGCTCGTGGAATTTCTTTTTTCGACAAAAATGTTGTACTTATCTCGGACAAGAACCAGGAAAAGATATTTCTTTTCGAATAATGAAATCTCACGGGCAGCGCGTTCTTCCTCGGAGCCTCCGTAATCATGTGTTAAAATTTTAAATAATTTGGTGCACCCAGTTTGGAGATAAGTTTTATTAATATTTTCACTTTTTGGTATGTATGTATCATGCTTTCATATCACTTTAAGGTGATATGAAAAAGTTGCTCAAAGCGATATGAAAGAGTTGCTTAAAGTGATATGAAAGAGCTTCTTAAGGTGATATGAAAAATGAAATTTCACGAGTATCACGTTCTTCCTTGGAGGGGTGAATCGCGGGGTGAAGTTTCAAATGGTTCGGTGCACCCAGTTTAGAGAAATGTTTTATAAGTATTTTAACGTCTTGATATGTATAGAATGATCCTTTGCGTCCTAAAGACGCATGAATGCGTCCGACGTTTGGTCCAATATTGCCTTTACGCGTTGATGAATTTCGCCCATATGTCAATAGGGCTTCATCCTCAAAGGGTTAAGCAGGTTATTAACCACCATCGAGAACGTAGAACCAAAATGACTCAGAATCTTAATTATCTATTAATATTCTCCTCACGAATTTCTCTATATTTCCAGTTTTATAAAGGTTAGTCCAAGAAATGTGGACTCTCTGTACACAAAAATTGCCAATGTCAGCCGCGAACTGATACAGTGTCCCAGTAACGACTAAGCGGATCTGGGTCATTATCGAAGTAGTCTTGTACACGTTGCAATTTCAGTTCAAAGGTTATTGCGTCAATTTACTGATAATAGCACGCAGGGATGTGGGTACGACCATCCGTACCATAACGTTTCCGAATATTCCACTAAACAAATTTAACTTTTCTCTCGCAACTTCATGCCTATGATACGGAACGACATGAGAAACGTAATGGAATACATTGTGACAGATAGCCAAGAAAAGGGCAATAAATGAGATTAAAATGAAGGAAACCTCTATATTTTCACGAGAGGTCGTAAACTATGTGAACGGACATTCCGCCCAGTGTCCTGAAAATGAAAGACAAAGTAGTACGCGTCTCCAATTCATTTTAATAAACTAATTTCCTCTCCGCCTCCGCATCTTCGGTTTTTCTTCAACACCGCCTCTTCCGAGCGGAAACGCGTTCCCAGAGACATTTCTTCGGTTTCGCGGCAATCTCGGATGCCTCTTGAAGCATCCTCGGTTTTCGTCTCTCGAAAGGAGAGGAAAGGTCCCCGCATTTCTCTTTAACCTGGGCTGAATACCGTAGGAATTTCTAACGAAGCAGGGAGGGTCCGAGCATTAACGCAACGCGAAAGATTATAATTTCATATTTAATTAAGTTCTTTTGCTCGGTGTGTACTTGATTAGCATTTCTCGAGTCTCGATGCCGGTGGAGGGGACCGGGCTCGGGGTGGAGGCGATGCTTCCGCAGTACCGGAAATCGAAATAGCAGTCGAGCGTAAAGCACAGATTTCCTATTTGTCCTCGTTTTCTGGCTCTCCCTCCTGCGTACTGCCGGGATCGCTTTCTCTCTGGCCCGAGACTGTTTCTTCCTTTCTGTGAACCTCCTCTTTCTCGGCTCCTCTCCGCCAAGCTCGATTTCTTCATTCGATTCTCAATATCACCGAACCCGGGAGGTGCAAAGCTGACTAGCTTCCACGGACAAGTTGTTCCCGGAACGGCGACGGTCTCCTGAACCCGAAGGGAGCCCCTGAACTGCGGAACTCGGAATCCTGGATTTTTGGATTCGGATTTATTGACAGTCCGTTTCAATTGGACATGTTTATTGGATGTGTTCCTTTGTAGGCCCTTATTTTCTACAATTGTTTTCGGTCAAACTACGTATGATGATCCCTGAATTATGGAGTTTTGGTGGGCATTCCAAATCCTGGATTTTTGGATTCGGATTTATTGACGATCCGTTTGTATTGGCCACACTTGTAGGATGTGTTTGTTTGTAGGTTCCTTATTTTCTACAATTGTTTTCGGTCACACTACGTATGATGATCCCTGAATTATGGAGTTCTGGTAGGCACTCTGGATCCTGGATTTTTGGATTCGGATTTATTGACAGTCCGTTCCAATTGGACATGTTTATTGGATGTGTTTCTTTGTAGGTTCCTTATTTTATACAATTGTTGACGGTCAAACTACGTATGATGATCCCTGAATTATGGAGTTCTGGTAGGCACTCTGGATCCTGGATTTTTGGATTCGGATTTATTGACAGTCCGTTTCAATTGGACATGTTTATTGGATGTGTTTGTTTGTAGGTTCCTTATTTTCTACAATTGTTGACGGTCAAACTACATATGATGATCTCTGAATTATGGCGTTCTGGTAGGTAGTCTGAATTTCGAATTTTTGGATTCGGATCTATTAACGTTACCTTTTATGGGGCACATTTATTGAATGTGTTTCTTTGTAGGTTTAATCTGTGTTTTTTGAATTTATCATAATTCTGTTTAATAGCAAGTTCAACAATTTAAATACTCGGAGGTGACGTTCTGTAACCTAAAAAAACGAAATTAAAATTTCTAGCCCACTTATAGAAACTAAAACTAATCGTCTTGTATGCAAAAGAAAGATAAGTTGCGATATCCAAAATTTGCATACATTTATTGAATTCAAGTAAAACGAGAAAGTGTAGCCACATCTCGCACGTGGGGAATGAAATAATTCCCGGGAAAATTTTTGAGAGATTAAATGTGAACCTTTCTGGAAACTTTTTCATTCACCAACGTACGGTTTTGTGCAGAAATAACTTCTAATAAGAGCTCACCGACCGTACAGTGAACCACGGTGCACACGCACGAGTACTTGTATGTCTCAGTACGTGCAGGATTAAGTATACGGCCTTTTTGTACAGAGATTCTATTTTTTATTCCCTCGTTCTCTTTCCTTCCCGCTTTCCATTTACAGTTTTTCCTCCAATATTTCGCTCTCTCCTATTACCTCATTTATATACAATGGTTGCATTAATTCAACATAAATGTACTTCAGTGATTCCACGCTCAAATTCGTACACGTTCTTTTATTTGAACGGAGCCAATATGAATATTAATAAATTCGACCTGCCAGGTTCTGAAGAAAATTTCAAAATTAATTCCTCAAAGGATTTTTTTTTTATTATAGAAAACGTTATATTACCAGAGCAACCCGAAGTAGAATTGAATAAATCTTGTCTTGGAACGTTTTTTTTTCCTTCGTTCATGTTTCATTTCGTCCCTGGATTTCCAGGAGATGAGTATTGCGACTTATACCCATTGTCCATCTATTAATTATTAGCAAACATGGTACGGTTTAAATGACCTTTTTAGAGACCTTCAACAATGGGGATCTAGATCCGTCTTTACGGCACTGGATTTCTCAGATTGTGTGTCTTTTTACTTCCTCGGAGAACAGTTCGCATCTGACCAGTTGCGAATCATATTCATATACAGATGCCTAATCTCAAATATTGAATCAGTCATGAAACTCCTTTTCTTCGCTCTTTTCTTCAGTAAGTACCTTTTCGATTCCACTAAAAATGCTTGCCTTCATTTTGGTTCTAATTATTAACAAATGCATTCTTAAAAGTCCCGGTGATTACTGAATAACAAATTCCAGAGCAAGTGCAATCAGTTCAATTATACTAAAAAATACATATTATAAAGATTTTATAGGAGTGACATTCTGAATTTCACATTACCGTAAATACAACAATATTATTCGAGGAATTTAATATTTTATTTCCAAGACAATTAAGAAGAATTATTCAATTTTTACGTAACGGCTTAACAATGATAGGTATGCAGTTATGGTTCATTATTATGCATTTTAACATTTCATTTCCAGAATCATTGATAATAATTATTTTCTGAATGTATCGTGACTAAATGGATGTTGATCTGCAGTTTTTAGCGGTTCATTGTTTGTGGCAATATGCGAAAATGACGGGGAAACCGATTGTGATTGCGATTATTGCGAGGTGACGAAAATAATTGGACTTAAGGGAAACGAGAACACGGGTGGAAAGCTCATTACATCCGCCAAGAAAAAGAAAATGATCTGTGCTCGAGATCGAGATGGTCCAGATCGAACGTTTCCGAATATTTGCTACATGCATTGTTTGAATCATTGTACGCTTTTCCAGACACGGATAATGGAGATGAATAGTATTGAGAGGAAAATTGTCGCCGCCTCCAGGTCAAGTAAGATATGCAAAAATGGTAATAGCAATAGCAATAGCAAGAGCAAGAGCAAGATTGGCACGTGCCAATGAGCAAAGGAAAGGTCGTCACGACCAAGATACAAAAAAGAACAGCTTAATTAGCGTTATTATTTTCTTTCCAAGTACAATATTAAGGGGATGTGAAAGTGGTGTCAAAGAATACTGTTTTATGAAGCTTATTTCCGGATTGGGTGTACCGAATCGTTTCAAACTTGACAATGTGAATATAGAGGCGATAAGGAAGATCCTGTTACCCATAAAATAAAAATCTCTTTATAGATATTTTCAAAATTTTGGTATAAAAATTATATTTCATGAGTGTCAGGTTCTTCTTTACAGCTTTCACGTATCGAATCGTTCCAAGCTTTACGACGTGAATACAGAGGCATGGAAAGCTCCTGAAATCCATAAAATTTCAACTTCTTAAAAATTTCTTTGTAGATATTTTTTAAATCTTGTATCAAAAATAAAATGTCATGAGGACCTTCTTTATAAACTCCATACTAATGTTGTAAAGTTTGAAACGATTCGGTATATCCAGTTCGTAGGAAAAGTTTCATGAAGGATTGAGCTTTTGGATACCACTTACACATTCCCTTAATATAATTTCACAGACAGTTTTCTCATGACGCTAATCATTCTAATAATGTCCTAAGCTTAACAAATTTAATAGATTTAGTAATTAAATTAATGTAGGATGAAGGAAATATGCAAAGAAGTTTTAGTAACACTCTTCTACTAGCAGCAATATTTTAATATGAATTTATTGATCAGATGTTAAACGTTTCGGAGGGAACTTTGCATTTCCTTTTTACAATTTCAAGTTCTACTTACGTGGTTTTATTTCCCAGATTATTACAAACTGCATGATGGATCGTGCTGAAAGTGGAGGGTATAACGTAATGCTTTCCAAGGCATCAAGATGATGGAAGTAATTTGTTGCATCCTGCACGAGCTTTTTTATTTACGGACGTTACCTACCGAAATATACGTGAAAGACGAATCTTTATATTTATCCAGAGAGAAAATAATTTATTTCGGTAATTTATTCGTATTTGTCTATCTGTTAGTTAATGTAAATAAGCCGCTTAACTGGAACGTCTATTTACCCTTGTATTTATTAATTATAAGTAACGCATTACCATAAGTAAAGAATATTGCAACCATGAATATTGCAATCGTAAATATTATTTTTGTTACCCCGGCGAAATAACAATTCTTTTTCGTCCATACGGCAAATAGATTTCCGTCAATTTGGCCAATATATTTTCAAGTGTTTACCTTTATTGAAGTAAGTACACTTATCCATTACGACTGTGAATTATTTTCCAGCATACGCCTCCAAGAGTTTGTAATAAAATCGGCCCGAGTACACGTCATGCTAGAATTTGTATCTAGGACCTTTATAATTAGTTGCATCAATCTGTTGAAATGACATGATGTTAATCGTTACATTAACAGCTGGTTTTCCCGCAGGCTCGATTTACTGGACGCGATTTGTGTATCCCCCAAGGCATAGGCATACACAAATGCAAATATCATCATCGACGCAGCAAATGTACCTGAAACACCCAAATATGGGTTTTACAATTCCAATATTCATGTTAGAAGTAAATATTGTAGAAGTAAGAGCACAACAGAGCCCACCGACGGAAACGTCATCAATGTTAATTCAATGACTGTGATAAGCGTAATATTAAAGAAGTGACAACAATGTTCGTGATAAGTTGCTCATCGATGTGTTGTGGGAATCACTTCCAGGCTGTTCCAGGCAAGAATATGTGTTTCACAGTTCCAATATTAATGATTAGTTGTAAACATTGTAGATGTTAGAGCACAACAGAGCACACTGGCGGAACCGTCACCAGTGATAAGTCAATGACTACTTGTTTCTGAAAAGATGCACACCGAAGTGTTGTGGGAACCACTTCCAGGCTCTTCCAGGCAGGAATATGTGTTTTATAGTTCCAATATTAATGTTTAGAGATTAGCATTGTATAAGTTAGAGTGCAACAGAATCTACGGGGGGAACCGTCACCAATGGTAACTTAATGACTACTTGTTTCTGAAAAGATGCACACCGAAGTGTTGTGGGAACCACTTTCAGGCTGTTCCAGGCAGGAATATGTGTTTCACAATTCCAATATTAATGTTTAGAGATTAACATTGTAGAAGTTAGAGCGCAACAGAATCTACCGGCGGAACCGTCACCAATGGTAACTTAATGACTCCTTGTTTCTGAAAAGATGCTGTTCGAAGTGTTGTGGGAACCACTTCCAGGTTGTTCCAGGCAAGAATATGTGTTTCACAGTTCCAATATTAATGTTTAGTTGTAAACATTGTAGATGTTAGAGCGCAACAGAGCACACTGGCGGAAACGTCACCAATGGTAACTTAATGACTCCTTGTTTCTGAAAAGATGCGTTTCGAAGTGTTGTGGGAACCACTTCCAGACGGTTCCAGGCAGAAATGTGTTTCGCAGTTCCAATATTAATGTTTAGAGATTAGCATTGTAGAAGTTAGAGCGTAACAGAATCTACCGGCGGAACCGTCACCAATGATAACTCAATGACTACTTGTTCCTGAAAAGATACTCGTCGAAGAGTTGTGGGAACTCACCACTTCCAGGCTGTGATGGCTCTCAGCTCTTCTGCCGTTTGCGTCCGAAATGTACGAAACAGTTTTGCATGAGCCGAGATGGAGCCGCATGAATCGGCGTCGTGCTCTGAATGAAGATTTAAATACCGACTAACAGATGGAAACCGTGAATGACATCACAGGGAAGGTTAATTAGTGTCGACAATGTGGAGTGGTTGGTCGGGCGCGGGGGGAAAAAAGCCGCGACCACTTCTTAGTGGCGAACTTCGAGTTAATCTGTGTTGATGTTGAGAGAGGTTCGCAAAGGATACCTTGAATAAACAAGACTTGGTTTCTTCAACAGTTAGAAATTAAGAGTAATCAAATTCACAGTAATTAGCCTAGTTTGAAAAAGGACTTGCAGACTTTAAAAGTCAGTTTGTCAAATATTCCCACGTTGTCATATTTTTTCTTATTGCTGCTAAATTAATTTCTAATATTATGTCTTACTATATGAAGAATGGTCATGTCTATATTCTATGTCTATATCTATATTTCATGAAAAAAAATGTTCTTTAATGAAATTTCATGAGCATCGCGTTCTTCCTTAGGACCTTCATAATCACATGCTAAAGTTTGGAATTAATTGGTCCACCCTGTTTCTAGAAAAGTTTTATGAACATTTGACGTTTTATATATATATAGAATGAACCTTTCATAATACCTTTTAAAGCCTCCAGTTAGAAGTTCCATGTAGGATCGAAATTTCGACTCGGGTTGGCCCGGGAATTTGCAATTCCTGCCCGTTCTCGCTGTCGTCGCCCCCAGGAACGCAATTTGGTCGCCATGTCTAAACCTTCCTTCGGCGCTCTCATTTGCACTTTTCGTCCCGGGAAACGGCGCATTTAATCGGTCTAAGTAAGGGGCCCATTAGGGTGGCGACGCGGGCGAAAACCTCGCTATCGTAAGCCGCAAAATAACGTTCCAATTAGGTGATATAGAGAAATACGTGCCCGAGAGCGCCAAACGGCGCAATGGCGGCCGGCGACCGGTGCGCCCTCTCGGCGGACGCGCCGGGACTTACGGGCCGCGAAGGAGCGGAATTAACCGGACGGGCTCCTGGCAAATTGAGTTGCGCAACTTCGGAATGTAAACATTCAAATTAACCTACTCGGCAAGTCAAAACGCCTGACGACCCCGCACACCTCGCCATCACCGGCTACAATCGAGACCATCTTGTCTTCCTTGATCACCCCAAGTTCGACTCGTGGATGGTCGACTTTATCGATACTCGACATAAATGCATCGACCGAAGGAGTTCGGATTTAAGTCTGGGATGCTGGGACTGTATCGTGCGATTTTCTTCTGGTTACTTATCACCTTGGTACCCTATTCTGTCTGGTGAAATTGATGGACTGGGGTGCGATTAGATTTGGTGATTGTCAGTTACTCTTAATGTAACGTTTAACCCACGTGCCTTCTTCGATGTTCTTATCATTTACTATTGCTGGGTTCAGATGGACATGTGGTTGCAAAATGTGGAGATGAAAGTAGTACCGTCAATTTGTTCATATAATTAATATTTAATGTCTGGTGAAATTGATGGATTGGGGAGTGATTACAATTTGATGATTGTCAGTTACTGATAATGTAACGTTTAACCCCTACGCCTTCTTCGATGTTCTTATCATTTACTCTCGTTGGGTTCAGACGGACCCGTGATTGTAAAATGTGAAGATGAAAGTAGTACCGTCAATTTGTTCATATAATTAATATTTAATGCCTGGTGCAATTGATGGACTAAGGGGCGATTACAATTTGATGATTGTCAGTTACTGATAATCTGACGTCTAACCCACGTGCCTTCTTCGATGTTCATACCATGCACTATCGTTGGGTTCAGATGGACCCGTGGTTGTAAAATGTGATATTAACAGTAGCACCGTCAGTTTATTTTTATAATTAATATTTAGGTGATTAAACACATCGCAATGAAGTACGAAATGAAGAAGTGTACACGAGGAAAGAAAATCGGTTTGGATGTAAATGGAAGAGGGCATGAAGGGTCAATTTTCTCAATTTTTTCCACTTTTAAGACTAAACGTTGAATGAGATCGAAGGTTACGTACACTTTTGGGTGGTAATTACTTGGGATTGCATGAAAGGTATGCTCCAGAAATATGTGAGTATCGCAGGGTCATATTCATACAAGTGCAATGCTTCGCGCGCCGATAGCTAAGAACGTAAATGTGTCGTGTGCTTTGTATGAGAAATTTTCATCAACGATGAAAGCTGGAAGGAAACGGGGTTGTGGGGAAAAAAGTAGAAGAGTGGTACGCCGGGAACGTTTACAAATCGCAAAAAATCTAGAAGTTCATGTTCGAAGGTAGTTCCCAGCATATAAAGCGCGATGAGATGGAAATGTCCCGAAGTCCTACAGCGAAGCAGACTCTCGCTCCACTTTCCACCGAACGATACTTCCACTCGTTTGAAGCATCGCGAAATGTCGTTCCCGTACATCGTCTGTATTAAATTCCATTCGCCGCAAATAAATACGGATATCATAGACCTACGTGGATCGTGATAACCGAAATTCTGACGTTTAATTAGACTCCCATCTTGCTGCACTTTCTGGATGTCTTAACTCGTCCGAGAAGTTTTTTTTACACCTTAGGTGTTTTTTGAGGAATCTTACTTACATGCTACATGTATATTACATTACATGTTGTGCAAGGGTTAAATTATTGTTACGTAGCTGCGTTTGGTGGGTATATAGATATGGTCTTATATTAAATGTATCGACAGACCTGTCTTGTGTTCATAAAAAAATGTTTCGTAACGAAGAGCCAAATTTCCAGATTTAATTTTATTTACTATTATTTACGTTCGTCATTTCTACCTACGATCTGTGCCAGTATGTCGGCCAGCTGTTCGACGCCTCTCTGCAGATTTTTCTAAAATTTCAGAAACGGAAATCTAGGATGGGGCGTTGAACTTTAGACACCATCGTATATGGTGAACGATTCATTTCATTTATAGAAAATTGTATCGCCACATTATTAGAAGACGTCGTTACATTGTTAGGAAAATACATAAAACAAAAGTTTCTTGATTTCGAGGAGATGAATTTATTCCTTCCTCTAAAATGAATAATTCACCATAAAGGATGGTGTCTTAAGGTGATGTGAAATACCCTTCAAATCAGTCGATTCGAATACAACACTTTTTTTAAGGGTATTAGACCAAACTGTCCGAAACTTTAACACATCCCTCCTCATCATCTAAGAATTGTCCTGACACATTTCAAAATATAGATTTTTCAAAAAAAGTTTTTAACTCAGTTCAGACCAGAACCAAAATGGCGTCGAGCTCTCATATTTCGATCAATATACAATTATCGAAGGCTCTAATATGAGAATCGAAAGGGTCAGGACAATTTAACGACAATTTAGAACACTCTGGTAATCGATAAACACGCATTTTAACGGGATAAAGGCAAAAAAAAGTGTTGTATGCGCTTCTCTGCCAAAACGATGGTAATACGAGGTCTCGGAGTGAAAATTTAATTGACCTGGTAATCACAGATGGCGCAG